TCCATATTGGGTTACTCCCTGACACATTGCCAATTAACCATCACAGTAAAGGAAGCCCTTTGTTTCTCATGAATGAAGAGTGGGCTATATAGCCAGTATACTACGCCACTGCCTCAACTCAATCATTCTTGTCTCTCCTTACAACTTTTCTCACTAAGCATTATCTGTTTTACCCCTTCCTTTTCCTTTCTATTTTCTTTATTTTGGCCTCTTCCTACATGCTTAGGCCAGACTGATATCTTTTTGGTTTCTTGGTCAATATGCCAACTATAAGGTAGCAAAAATTACAATATAATTGGGATCAAGTTGAAGATAACTTCAAAAAAGAAACTTCTGAAATAAACTTTGTAACCCCCAAAACAAAACTATGTTAAAAAGGAACCATGTTTCTATACAAACATAATTTAGAAATATTATTGTAAATATAAAACGTATGTCAAATTTCAACACTGATCTGGTCTCACAAATGCTTCTTTCCTCCAGAGACCGTACAATAGTGACTATTGAATAGTCCATTATATGGTCTCTGTTTCCACTTTCCACACAAGTTCACTTTTGTCTATCCCTTGTTATACACTGATCCAACTGAATATACTGCTGATAAAATGGCAGACAATTCAAAAGAGACTGTAAACCACAGGTACAGCTTATTCTCACTTGCACTTGCTCAACAAGTTTCCACATAAGAAAAATAACATAATGGTTTGAATATATTGCTGATGGAATATTCATCATCTGGAAATCAAGACATATTATCATCATGTTTTTCATTTATCTTGTGTCTAAAATACATGGGATCTAGTTGAAAGAAAAAAAAATGAAAGAAAATCAAAATCTGTAACATTTTGTAGGAGCACTGAGCAGGTAAATCATATTTAGAATCCAGAACGTAAAATATTTGACGAGTTTCAATTTTCCTGAAACAGTTAACAGATGCTTGCTCTGTTCCACCTCATCAACGACCAATCTGTAGCGAGACCCAGGCAGCAAACCAGATCCTCCTTCTGACATTGGCACCCTCATAATCCCATCGAACAAAATAACACGTCCTCCCACCCCACCCCGAAACCCAGGTAAACCTGCCATCTGCTTCCATGAAAAAAACCAGATTGGTACTCACAGTGATTTATGTTACAAGCCAATAACGATGTTGAACATTTTTTTGTACTTTTCAATTTTGTGCACCAACCAAGCAAGCCTGTCTAATACTAGGACTGATGGAAATGTGATCCGCCATCGGCAGAACCTGTGTAATTAGCGGAGATTAAAACATCATCTAATTGCCTCAATCTCTGGGCAAGATCAGTGGTTTGAAGCTCGATGACGGGAGATGTTTTTTACGGTTCATGTGAGGACAATAGGTACGCCCCTGTGATGTGGGATAGAGAGTTCGGGAGAGTTAGGTTACATTCCGGTGCCATGCTTCGCCTTCATTCAACATATGTGCCTCACTCAGAAATAATTTATGTTTTCTCTAATGTAGCTAAATGTAAAACAACATTAGTCTCATTATCTCGTTTGTTCTCATGCCCTGTAATTCCCTATGTAACAAAAGAATATCCTTTTTTCATGAAGTCCTTTTAAGGGATGTGTAATTTATTTTTCCTGAGAATATGTTTCATGTATCGGTGGAGGGGGTTGTCTTTAAAATAGCATCCTACGACCAATTCCATCATCCCAGCACCACCCTTAATAAAGGACCAGTCCCTATGATCTAATAAATAGGAACATCCTACTTTTCAAATAAGCTTGTAAAATATGATAGCGTCCTACAACCAATTCCACTGGCCAAACACAACCTTTTGATAAAGGACCAGTCCCTACGATCTAATAAATAGGAACATCCTACTTTTCAAATAAGCTTGTAAAAAATGATAGCGTCCTACAACCAATTCCACTGGCCAAACACAACCTTTTGATAAAGGACCAGTCCCTACGATCTAATAAATAGGAACATCCTACTTTTCAAATAAGCTTGTAAAAAATGATAGCGTCCTACAACCAATTCCACTGGCCAAACACAACCTTTTGATAAAGGACCAGTCCCTACGATCTAATAGATAGGAACAAAGTAGTATATGATGCACCACTATTGTATATTTATCCACCAAGAGGTGTCCATGATGAATATATAACTATGACAAAATGTGAAACCATGTACCAGAACTGTGAAAAGGATAAAAGTCATAAAAAGATAGATCTGAAAAAGGTTTACTTTATGATACAGAAGTGATCAAATATGAAATGACAGGTTTGACCTGTCATGAGAAATACAGATGCTATGGTTTGTGACAAAACATCAGTAGCATTCCACATAGAAACAAGTAAGGAAAAATATCTGATTATCTCACATTCATTGTATTGCCTTCTGAGATGCAGATATCTGATATGAGATACACAGAAAATAGACAGGAAGAATGTCTACCAACTGAAAGAGACCCTTAACGAGCCAACTAAATTGCTGAAGGCCCTGTTGAGATAAACCTGCCTACGTGGGTAGTGATGACTGTAAACAAAGTCAGCTGAAAGACTCAAGGAACGAGGCAACAACAGTGTACCACAACACAAGCGAACAAGAACCCAGGGGAAGAACATGTACATATTCTAAACAATGTCTGACTGAAAGGGCACAAGAGGCCTAGTTGTCTAAGTTGCAGCAATTTACTGTGCAGGGTTGCCTTCCTTAGCTGTGCCAGGATATCCTTGTTATAGGTTTGAATCCTAGATTTGCCCTGATAGGATCATTTGATGTCACACAATACCAGTGCTTGTGTTCCAATATAGGTCCAGAAGGTAGCCTTTATTTATTTAATTTATTAATTAACTGTTTTCCTTCAGCAACTTTAGCCACTAGTTTGAAGTTTGAGTTTAATCAAATGTTTTCGGTCTGCTCACTGAAAAGAGATCAATGGGCAAGTCTGGACACAAAATGTTCTTGGCAAAGATTGCGAAAATTCCATTACATCTATCAGTGTACAATCCCAATAACATTTGAAAAATTAAACATAAATTTGAATAATACAACTTCTATAAATTTGAATCCTACAACATGTCCAATAGACTTTCCTATTAGACAATATGCTGTCATAACCACCTGGGTCCAGAAACATCTTATAACACCACTAAACAATACCGGTACTACTTTCCTATTGGACAATATGCTGTCATAACCACCTGGGTCCAGAAACATCTTACAACACCACTAAACAATACCGGTACTACTTTCCTATTAGACAATATGCTGTCATAACCACCTGGGTCCAGAAACATCTTACAACACCACTAAACAATACTACTTTCCTAATGCACAATATGCTGTCATTACCACCTGGGTCTAGAAACCTCTTACAACACCACTAAACAATACATTCCTACTGGACACCACTAGAAACATACTACTTCCCTATTGGACAATCTACAGTCACCTGAGTCAAGTAAACCCGTATAACACCACAAAACAATACTCAATCCCTATTGGCTAAAACCAACCATACATTCCAAAGGTGGCTTATCAACCTCCTGACTGGACGGAGGGATTGACTGTCAAGATAGTCCTGACCAGGCTATTGTCTGTTGACAGGGGGAGATAACTCAGTGTCAAAGGTTATCCAGTGAAAGTACATCATTAGTTACTGTTGAACACTCCCTCTAGACCAACACCGACAGACCCCAGCCAACTTCTGTCTATATTGTTCCTCCATAGCATGTCATTGGAACCAGATTTAGATCAGCATCAACAGTGCCATGTGATGAAGGAACTAGAGTCAGCACTTTCAGAGTGTGGTGAGGTCATGTGACTACTGTAAATCTTGAAATTAACGCGAGCGTGAATTAAATGCGAAAAATGCGAGTGGTCTTTGCTCGCATTTTTAAACATCGCATTTAGATCAACAATAAGACATTTTGGATAGTAAAAATACCAATATAGACATACGCTGATGAATTCGACACCACTGTTTATTGAGCAGCATTTGTATATAAAGTAATTCAGCCTGGACAGGGCCAGGTCCACGTACTGTAGTGTCACCGGTACACACCATGAGCTGTTAAGTACTTAAACATACTCTCCTCGTGTATCACTCATGATATGAGTGAGTGAGTATGGTTTTACGATGCTTTTAGCAATATTCCTGCAATAACACTGGAAAATGGTCTTCACACATTGTAACAATGTGGGGAATAAAGCCCGGGCCTTTGGCGTGACGAGCAAACGCTTTAGCCACTAAGCTCATGTTATGAACTTTTTAATGAAAACTAATGATACAGAAAAATGCATCTGTCTTACATATTGGACACATGAACCTTGTATGGATAACAGGGGGCACGGGTGGCCCAGTCGTCTAAGGTGCCGCGATTCGCTGTGCAGAGTTGTGTCCCTTGGGCACGCCAGAAACCTATGATTTTGGGTTTGAATCCTGGTTCGCCCTGATTATGTTTGAAGGTTTGTCAGCACCATACCCGTGCTCGTGGGTTTCACCGAAGTGGTAAACGTCTGAGACCTGCATCACTTTGGGCTTTCCCCCCACATTAAGCTGACATGCTGTGATATAACTGTAATACTGTTAAAAGCGGCATTAAACCCAACTCACTCACTCACTCATTAGGTGAACAAAGGAGCAGGAAGTAGCCCTGAAATGTGTTCCAAACAATATAGAAGTTGTTATCCATAAAAGATTCATGTCTTCATGTCCTGACTTCAAAATGCCTATCAAAGACCATATTCTATGTATTTTAACTACAAATCTACAGTTTGCGAAAGCAGAAATGATTGGTTGTTTCCATCAAGTTCCACCATGCTACAGTTGTGAGATCTTATGTGACAGAAAAACGCAGCAAATGTCTAACACATTTTAAACTCAGAAAAGCGGACCTGCAAATCAGGTTTGCGTCTCAAGAACTACACGAAATAAAAGCGAAGGAATTAAGACCAGGAAGACGAGAAATAAAAAGTACACAAAAGTAGAGTCTGTGATAAAGAAGGTTTCACATGATTAACTTACTTCGGTCACCGAGGCGGAAAGCCCCGCCTGGCAATAGCCGTGTTTGTGAAACTGGTCGGAGACAGGAAGTCGATCCACCGCTGACGGTAGAGGAGGAGGGAAAAAGTTATTAAAGAGGAGATAACTCCTTTGAAAATACATGCACAAGCCAGTTTCCTCAACCCCAATACCTGATGATGATGATGATGATGATGATGATGATGATTTGAGCGGGATGATGGGTCTTGGTGTACATGTGGTTGATGTAATTGGTGGATATTCTAAGCAGGAACAGATTGACAGCTCAGACTCGTACTGTGCAAGGATGGATATGACATATATATCCCAAAGAGAATATACGATGGGTGCTGCATTAGCATCTATAAATGGTAAATATGTCATAACAGTATCATGCCCAACACCCTGACGCCCAACACCCTGACGTACTTTGTGGAGCGGTGGTCTGACAGCCTAAACATGCTGTATTGGTTTCGTTACGTCAAAAAAGGCAAAATTGGTAATAAATGTTCTGATGATGAAATTTGAGTTTGTTTGCGAAACTGGATTGTGCATCAGCATCCGTATACATCACCTTCTGGCGAATCTAACTCCTGCCTTTCTCATTTATAGTCAAAAAGTTGAAACTGTCGTCATGGTAACCTAAAAGAGGCATCACCATGGAAACAGGAGTGACTTACTGAAGTTACGGTGGCTGAGAAGCCTGACTGGCAGTATCCTTGCTTGTGGTATTGGTCAGCTACCCACCGCCGGTCTACCTCTAGAAAAACCCCATGCAAAAACCATGTGATCATTGAGTTGTTAGTGCAGCACACGACACAAAGGCAAAGTAAACACGACAAACTTGGAAACTCTTCACGATGGTAGTGGCTTTTCGTTCCGGGATCACTTCCAAACATAACATAGCTTATACTTGTAAACAACTACTTTTGGTAAACAAGATCTTTTTAGGTACTTTTTATAGCCTTGTCTTCTAATAGGAAATATGCTTGAAATAACTAGACTTGTGTTTGGAATAACAAAGTCAAGTAGGTTAATTTTTATCGGAATGCATGCAAAAAGTTCATGTATACAATCACCTAAGTTAAATTAGATGAAAAGCACCATGTACTGTTATCCTTAAAACTGTAATATTTATTGTAATCTCTATTGCAACCTCTATTGTAAACAATATTGTAATCTCTATTGTAATAAAAATTGTAATCTATATTGTAATAAATACTGTAATCTCTATTGTAATAAATACTGGAATCTCTATTGTAATCTCTATTGTAATAAATACTGTAATACATACTGTAATCTCTATTGTAACCTCTATTGTAAACAATATTGTAATCTCTACTGTAATAAATATTGTAATCTCTGTTGTAATAAATACTATTATCTCTACTGTAATAGATATTGTAATCTCTATTGTAACAAATATTGTAATCTCTGTTGTAATCTTTACTGTAATCTCTATTGTAATCTCTGTTGTAATCTCTACTGTAATCTCTACTGTAATCTATATTGTAATCTCTACTGTAATCTCTACTGTAATCTCTATTGTAATTTCTGTTGTAATCTCTATTGTAATCTCTATTGTAATCTCTACTGTAATCTCTACTGTAATCTATATTGTAATCTATAAAGTAATCTCTATTGTAATCTCTACTGTATTAAATACTGTAATAAACATTGTAATAAATATTGTAAAAAATACTATAATCTCTTTTGTATTAAATACTGTAATAAACATTGTAATCTCTATTGTAATAAATACTGTAATAAACATTGTAATCTCTATTGTAATAAATACTGTAATCTACACCTGTTTACAGTACACTGTGTGAAGAGTGTCCAAGTTTGTCTCCTGTGAAGCAGTGAAACTCAGGTGTATCCCGTTCTCAAGGTCAGTCAGAGAGGGAGGTCAAAGGTTGCTGCCTCTACTATAACAGTACTCATTTCACAAAATAACAAATAATAAGATATATTTTAAACAATTTTTGCTTTAATGTTTTGTAAAAAGGCTGTGTTTAAAGAATTTTGTACTAAATCGTTTTGTTTCTTTCTTTTTTTTGAAAGGCATTTAGAAGTGATACACATAAGGAAGAGAATTTATGGATGTCAACTTCTTTATCAAAAGGAACACAACATTTCAGTGTATATACTTTCTCCTCCATCAGGTGAATCATTCACTTGATGGAGGAGAAAGTATATACTCCGAAACATTGTGTTCCTCATGATAAAGAGGTTGACATACATAAATTCTCATCCTTTTTTTTTTTTTTAGTATTTCAAGACAATATTTTAGGAACTTAACTTCAAATCAAACCTCACATCATTCATTTATATATTTAGCCTCTGCCTCTTGGATACATTAAGCAAGACAAGGGACAAAAACAATTAATTTGTCTCATATAAAAATGCATAAAGTTAACAACACATGATTCAACATAGCAACCTATTAGTAGAACATTTATTTTAAGAAAATGAAATTATTTCCAGATTTATTTACTAATAAATATCAAACTTCACTTAATGAAATACTTTGTAAGAGAGGAAATAGGTTACTGAGAATAATTATTTAATCATTTACAATGTCATTGATTACTCAAACAAATCCATATTTTCACTAGATTAATTAATTGTTGTAAACATTTACACAGAATCATCTCACAATGAATAAAATCTGTCAGTCAAGAATCCAATTGACTGACAATTTATTACAACGTCTAATTCCCATATTTCTCACTTAACCAGTTCCATCCACTATCAAATATAGATTTCTTTTCCATACATTTATGAGATTTCCGTCAACAAACTGAGAGTTTCAGATTCAATGGTTAAAGTCTCGAGTCCCCACTAAAGCAAAAAGTCAGCCCCTGGGTGTTTGAGCGGAGCTGCCGACATCCTCCTCCGTGCAGTGGTCAGATCAATGAATCACAACCACCAACAACGTGACGAATGAAAGCAAATATTCGGCCAATAATGAGCTGGTATTAATTTTCTTCTCACTTTCAGGAAATAACATCTCTGTCCATGTTCAAGTCTTGATGTTCTTGTTGGTTTAGTTGTAACATTTGAACTTTAAACAGAACGAGGCTAAATATTGACAAATTTCAGAAAGACATGTAAAAAGTACCAGATATTTTCAGTTCTAATAATGGCATCAATTTCCTGTGCTTACAAGGGAGGAAATCTGAATTTGGGGTTATGAACCTTAACAGATTGTCGTGACAGGCTAGTGGAAAAGATCAAATATATCAAAGATCAAATAGATCAAAGAATATCAAATATACTTACTTGATCAAAGTATTAAGTTAATAAAATGTTTTTATATTTCGACTTTATCACATCATTTTGATAACGTACAAACTGAGAAAGTAGGAAAAACGACTGGATGATAACAAAAATCTCACTCTCATGTCTTTTGATATCAAATATATCAATTCTCAACATAAAGTTAAAAAACACTTGGCAAGTTGGAATTTTAAACTGTTATCAGTTTGTGTTGATATATTTGATATTGAAAGTCACATGGGGGAGATTCTCTTGTTAGAAATAAAATAACTTTGTTTCACAACAAATTTCGTCAACTGAGCTAGTTATACTCTTGTTATATACTTATCTTTAAGAGTAAGTGAGTGAGTATGTTTTTACAACGCTTTTAGCAGTATTCCAGCAATATCACGGTTGGGGACACTGGAAATTTTGTCATGTTGATTCTGATTGTGTGTTGCAACCTTATAACAATGGAATATGACACTGTTTGTTTTAGTAACCTTTAAATCTTAATGAGCGTAATGTTTCATTCTATTGCAACCCTAAATATTGTCTTGACTGAATAATGTATCACTTAACGATTCTGGAAACAATAAAAAATCCTCTTTTTTTTTTTTTTAAATGAATACTGGTATCAAATAGGAAAAGAATAATTCGTTTTAAATTTTTAGCATTTGTACTAAAATAGAGGCAACCACCTTCCACAAATGTAACACAGATTATGTAACCAATTAAGCAAAATTGTGCTCATAAATGGAGAAGATTGCATTGAACGGGGGCATCCATTATAGCCAGAGATCCCAACAGATGCGAGTACATGTAGAGAAGAAGTGGTGGAGCGGGTACTGCCCTTGTCAGCAATATTACAACCAAATGGCAGTTCAGCAGGTTTGGATCTGAACAAGTGGTTGATAGCATGACCACCCACATTGATGGGGTATGGTGACACACAGAATCAGCCAGGTCATTGCAAATTGTTCAAACCATTTGAAGCTGCCATTGTTGTCACCCGATCCCCATCTTAGTTGCCCTTTGTGACAAGCAACATGTTCTTTCCTTTGAGACGAGGAAAACATTGTTAAAATGTAATTTTGATAAAAGTTTTTTTGATCACTCAGAAATTCTTGTTTTGTGCCACAGCACTAATTCACCAAAAAAATATTTTTATTGTTATATTAACAGTTTTAAAAAGCAATTACTACTCTACATTGAGGGAAGATCTAAAATTCTAGTAAAAACTTAATATTACTTCAACCATGCCAAATACACGCGTGGCCAAATTTTGGTGAGTAGTTAAAAGTAAGGGAAAATAAGCCAACTAAATGATGAAAAATTATCAAGTGGTATTTTAAAGAGTGTGTCTGAAATCCCAACCAGAATGCACATTGAATATCTGTACTTCCTGTTAAGCCAAGGAAAGATAACCCTTGTTACAACTCAATTCCAGTCCATCAATTTCAATTAATATTTCCCATGATTTACAAGTCAATCAAAGTGACAAAAAAATTCAGACTTCCAAAAATGTCAGAATCAAAATTTCCATATATATATATATGTAACCATAGAAACCAAAAAAAGGAATTTCAGACACTTTCTACAAACCATAAGGGGGAATCGAAAAACTGAAAGGGGACTACAGTAGTGAATGAAATATCTACGATAAGTACCCAGCCCTCCTATATACAGGAAAACCCTGCTAGCTTAGGATGCGTGCACAGCCAGCATATGCTGCAGATTGCAGAAGATGCGTAATGGCCGATCACCATGACACATTGAAGGCACCAGGCAGGGGGGCCGCCATGTTTATTATCTAATTACTCCTCGCTATGATTGAAGTGCAAGTGTTCTATTCATTGGATATTCTAAAATGGTGACTCTGTGAACAAGAATTCATTCGGATATGAACTTAATTTGTTGTAGTGTCACAAGCAGCACTATTCCTATACATGTATATGATAGTGGGCTGTAAGAAATCAATCCTGGCCCACACAATCCAGTGATTGATATCATGAGCAACATTTCACACCATCAACCCAACTTCGGATGGGGCTGGATACCATAACAAAACCTGGCAGACAACAGCTGAGAGTTGTCTCCCCTGTTGTCATTAGCAGCAACCCTCTGTGACCCCATTTTGGCCAATCCTTACAGTTCTTCTGCTCCAGAAATTCCACAAGGAAAAGACTTGGAATAATAATACTTGAATATGTACTTATGAATATATGTATTCTATATGAGGAATACCTATCTAGTCTTATTATTTCAAAAAAGACTTTACCACCAATCTTCTTTTTGAATTGGCACTAATCAGCAAAACAAATAATATTTTACATAAAAGTAATGATAATTTTTATATCAATTTCTCCATTACTTTTGTCAAAACTAAAACATTTCATCCAACACTTACTCCTAAATTTTAGGTCTCACCAAAACAGAACAGAACACTTGCACTTGAATCGTTCCTGCTGCAAATTTGTTTATTGTTATGGCTTTTTTTTCTAATTCAAGTCAACCCCCTTCCCAGTTCCCAGGAAAGCCTCCTTATAACATACAGTCACATGTAGGGTCACATGACCTACTGCCAGTATACAAAAAGCAAGAATCATGATAATATGGACAAAGGATTTCTTAAAATAGACATCCTTTATTATGAAATGCTATGAAAAGATGCAGAACTATGAAACTATGATTCTTATATAAAACAATAGTCCTTGTCTTACAAGGATTAAAGATCAACTACAATATCACATTGTTCATGTTTTACAGATATATTTGAAAATATATATATATATGATGTCCAGAAATAATTGGAAACAGTTATAAAGTGGTCAAAGTGTCAAAACAAATAAACCATTGAAACCATGTGATATTATAATGACGTCCTCATACTGTCATAATCTAATTGTTAATTACTACTGTTTGGAAAATACTGAAATATGAATTAATGTAACTGATATTGCTTTACGTTTCAAAAGTCTTCCAATTTAACAATTAGATTATGAACAATTACAGATAGATGTGATGCTTCTGTTGTAACAGAACTAAACATAATGACACATTATTTATTAAAGGACACATTATCAATAAAATATGCATATTTGATAATTAATAATGGTATGCTGTAACAAGCAAGTGATGACTTTGAGGTTACACAGTCATGAATGAACACATGGGATGATAACCATAGAACTGAAAGCCCACTCACCTTCCATGGATTTTAATAAGTAATCATATTAAATTTGAAAAAACACCATAAAACATAAAAATCTGAAATTTCTTAACTCTGTCATCACTTCTTTGATAACGCAACCATATATGTTCAGGGATTGTCTCAAAACCTTTATTCTAATTAAAATCAAAACAGTTTTTTTAAATTTAACCAATTCAGCATGACATTCTAGGGTGTATAATAGAAGACAATCAATTCATTTTGTTTTCAAAATGGATGATTTGTTTACAAAAATATATACATATGTTTAACTTTTGAGACCACCCCTGTTATAACACACATGTAAGTTATAAATACTCATAACACACATGTAGTTTATAACTAGTCATAATGCACATATTCGTTATAACTATGCATATTACCTCTTCTGCATGGTGAAAACTCCTGAGCTTGTGTTGTAGATGATTTTGAAATGTAACATGTTCCGACCGGCTCTCTTTTGTTATAATCTTTGGAAAGATACACATATCTAGGAGCACAGGCCTGAAACATAGGAAAACAGTCTGTGAAAATATGGCATACATAATCACCAGAAGTGATACATATCTTCTCTTATACAGATTTTAGACATTACAGATATTTATTAAAGTAGCCATGTATCCAGTCTTAAGGATGGTGGGGTAGCTCACTGGTTGTTTTGCTAAACATGATGGTTCTAGTCTTGGTTTTCTCCATCCTGCTATTAATGGAACAATACCATAAATCCTTCATCACTCACTCAGTTTGGAAACATATTTACCGTATTCGATGTAATAAGCGCCCCGCTCTAATAAGCGCCCGCGGCGATATTTGCTAATATATTGGCTAGTGAACAATCCCCATTAGCACAAATTCCAATTCATCAATGTACACATTATTTATTTGTGTATAATACGTACTCATTTGTTATATGCACCCTTAATTTACGGGCAATTATATTCTGGAAAATATATCTGTCGTGTATAATATGCACAAACTTTTCTTTTGTATCATTTCAGGCTGTCAGCATAAACCACGAAATCTTTCAACTCTTTCACCAAAATTATATTCTAATAAGAGCCCCCTATTACTAATTTTGAGAACGCCCTGGACGCTTATTATATCGAATACGGTACTTCTAATTCGCAGATGCAATCCTCCATTGTTGGTTGCAATATGAAAGAATGAATTTCTTTATTTCCTCCAGAGTTGAATCCGAAGATTTTACATGGGCAAATACATTATTTACAATACATCAATTAGATTATGTGACTATATACAATGAAATCATGTAATACAGTGCTATGAATAAACAATTAACAATGTACATTTTGTGAGCAGTAAGATATACGTGTCCAGTAGATATACATAAGGTATTTCTTCAAATTCCATATAAACTGGCAGAAAGACAGTATGATGCTTTGCCAAGTATCATAATCAGTTTCGTCAGTTCAATCATGAACATCTGCACCGAGAAAGTATGAAAACATATCATCGTCGTCAAGCATATCTATTTTCACATATACACCAACATCAAGTTTATCAATCAGACATGAGAAGAAATGATTTCTGTCAGGCATAAAAAATTCACAGTGCAAAATAATATCGCAATCACATTCATAGTAATATACCATTGTTTCCACAGCATAACATTGATGTAGCTAGTAAGTAGATTTATATAACTTTAATGGGTAATTCAACAGTCCAACACTCCCTGGATATTGTGTATCTCTACTGGTACGGGATTACACCAACAAATACTCAGTCGGTCTCCATGACCTACATCAAGGGCAAACCTACATACCTATATTTGGAGGTGTCTACTTTCTCAAACACAAATAGATCTGGTTATAACTTGCCAAATGATGGTATCAATTATTGTTACGTACATGAAAGGTTTTTAAGTCCGTACTGAACTACCCCATAACATATTTGACCTGGAATTTGGTTATCGACAACGTACTAAGATGCAGTGAGCCACCCTGCACCCCTGTGTGGGAATGAGCATGGCCCAAGCACCTGCCATGATGGCAGAAGTGTTTAGTTGGGCTGTAACCCAAGTTGATGCATCTGTAACTTGGCTGAGAGGATGCTGAATAAACTTGTGGGATTCATTTGAAAATCTCCAACACAAACATGAACATTATTTCTTTTGACACTGGCCTACAGTAAAGCATAACGGATGTGGTATTCTTAATGAGCAAATAATTGAATAAAAGACCTGAGGACTTTTTAATGAGAAAACAAATTACTCCTCAAAACATTACTATACACACTCCTTATAACATTGCTGCAGGTGTTATATTGGTAAGTGTTTCAATATCTAAAGAGTCCAGAGAGTGAGTGAGTGTTGATTATGCAACAGGTTCCAAGATCCCAGTTATATCACGGCTGCCTGTCTGGTCGAAGGTTGACAGCATGAGCAAAGAGAAGGTTGACAGCATGAGCAAAGAGACATGCTGTCGGGGAATGAAGACAGCCATGTTACACAATGTGGCCACCATACTTAAATCCACTTTCATGACAAGTATGGGGGCAGGGTCCCATTTCTCAAAGCGATCATAGCCATCGGAACTCCTATACTTCAAATAGACTTACTTTAGTCGGAGCGCTATGACCATCGTTACTCCTATACTTCGAAATAGACTTACATTAGTCGTAGCACCAATACTATTGTAACTCCCCAAAATAGACTTGCATTAGTTGTAGTGCCACAACTATCGTAACTGACCGACGATATTTCAACATTGACTCTTATTAGCGCTACGATCACTCTCCGTCCCAGATTCCTGCAGGGCTTGTGAAAACATTGCTCTCATTTTCTTCTTCAAATATGGCTACAGAAGTTTATCAGTTTCCAAGATGACCAGATCTGAATCACCTGGTCATGATGATACAGTTGTCTGGACTTTTTCATCTTGAAATGACCCACGGAAAAAAAGTCACTCCAATACTTTTGAGAAAGTCCCCCATATCTGAAGCTCTTCCCTGCCCCGGCCTCCCAACATCGGACTCCAGTCGAAGCCCGTTCTAACCCCGGGCCAACACTAGATTGTGAGGTCTGCAGACATGAAAGGGGTTTATTATTCATAACCAGGGCTGTATTTATTTATTTGAATTCTTGTTGGAAGGAGCTACAATCAGAATGACCTCAAGCCTTTCCTGGAAGAGAACGACTCGGGACTAAATCTGTTGAAACTTCAGCCTTTAGCCTTACAGAATCTCCGTCATGGAACTTTAGAGAAAGACTCTGTGTTTAATCCTGAGGAGATTCTCCAACCTTTAGCCTCACAGAGTGTCAGACCTGGAAGGTTTGAGATAGACTCAATCTTTGATCCTTGATAGATTCTCTTAGCCTTACAGAGAGTCTGTCCCAGGCAAAGATTCATCTTTCAACACAAGAGAGAGACTTCAGCCCTTAGCCTAGACAAACACTTAGTCTATGAAAATATATGATTTTGATAGAAACAAAAACTTTAGTAAAAATTGAACAGAAACCCCAATGAGACGGGAGATTCCTGAACCTGAGGTGAATCGTTTAACATTGCATCCAAGATTATTGCACGATGTTCATGCATGTGTGTGTGTGTGTGTGTGTGTGTGTGTGTGTGTGTGTGTGTGTGTGTGTGTGTGTGTGTGTGTGTGTGTGTGTGTGTGTGTGTGTGTGTGTGTGTGTCTGCTTTTACTAGTCGGGCCTGATGCCAAGATACCATGCCACAATTTAACATGAATACCCCACTCAAAAACAGTATACTGACTCCGAGCCGACCAGTTCTTATTTTATCCCCTTTATGCCGAGTGCCAGACAATGTAACAACAAGTAACATCTCTTACTGTTTTTTTGTCTGACTCGGTCGGGGATCGAAACCCTGACCTTCCGCACTCACTGTGGATGCTCTACCACTGGACATGGAGGTGGTCCATGAACCTGAGGAATATCTAGACTTGCTTCATTTTGAGCTATGGCATTACAGTAATCTCTGGGCGGAAGGGGAAATAATATGATTCGGGGACTGTGAGACTACCCAGAGTGTCTGTCCTAGAAATTTAGAGAAAGACTTGTCTTCAAACTTACGTGTTGGCAGAGTGTGAATTTTTTTTTGTATGGAACAATTTGACCAGTCACCGAATGGACTTCCCGCGCTACATGTATTTCGAATGTGAAAACGTAATGTTGACATTTAATAGTCAAACTGCCTCAAATATGACTTTTAGCAAGTCATGGTACTGCATTTATGATATGTGTATCCATTCTCTTGCAACTAAAGTTCTTTCAAGGCGTCATTAGCGGTAAACTGACTGTGGTTGCTGTAAATGTGAGTTGCGCGATCTACTGAACACTTTGCATACGATTTCGCTGAAATTATTGTAAACATCATTATAATTATTGAATGAAATTTTGAACATAACTAATGAAATATATTGCAAACATTAGTCCAGATAAACAATGAACAATGTGTTTATAACCAGATATTATAATAATAGGATAAATTGTGTACTTCAGTTCGGATTTGTTGACTGGTATTTCCAGTGTTACGTGATCGCGGTGGACAACTGATAATGTTTTCTGAGATGGGGGAAAACATTGTGTCATTGGAAAACTTGAGTTCATGTTAGTAAATTTTGGGAGCCATGCTTTACCACGTGCTATAACCGAGTTAGCACTATATTGAAGAGCGCAATAGCGAGGGAACACTGTAACAGTAAATGGGTAATAACTATCAGTGACGATGTACAAGAATCTTATAATAAAAGTTCATTACATCGGCCCTATTTCCCCCTCCCCACGGATAGCTATAGTCTGATGGTGTTGATGATATAGATTAACCAATAAGTGTATTCCTAACAAGTCGAAGGCCCCTGCCGTGATCAAACACAGAGATCTGAGAACATTAAATACCTTTTGCAGACACCATCATATTTCATTCCCAGTTAATGAAACATTCAAAAATAGTTCTTTGAAATGTGAAGGTAAAAAGCTTCTAAATTGGACAACAGCCTAGTAAAGTGGTCTTTCAAAGTCTTTGAAATGTGTCTTACGATCATAAATAGTGCTAATGAAGATGCCTTCAAAATAAATGAAAATGCTTTTAGGTTGTCAGACCGCACCAAAGGAAAAGCGACAAAAAAGCTCCATGTTTCCATCATGAAGCACAGGTGTAGGAATTTGGGGGTGATATCAAAGCACAGTAAAGGGCATGTAATAAATCACACAAACATGGTATATATCTCATAACCACACATTCCTTTCAACCACCATCGGCAACCCTCAGACCTGCCATTCACAACTGCCCCGGAAGTACAGAGAGAACCTTGAAGGAGGTGCACTTCATTTGTGGATCAGTCCACTGAGAAAAGAGGGGTGTTTCTGCCTGTGTTCCAAATAAAAAATTAAATGTGGCAGTGATAGAATTTTAAACGGTTTGTGTAACTTTGTCATATCTTGATAACTAATTCCAATAAAGGACTAAAACCATTTTGGATCCTAAATGGTTTTTTCCATCAAAAGCAATTTTGACTTCAAA